TGCCGCTTACGCCGTGCTAAACAACTTTTACATGGATGACTACCTTGGATCTGTGAAAAACCCAGAAACTGCTTCAATGTTAAGTCGCAGTTTAGTTGAACTGCTTAAGTTGGGTGGGTTTAATCTTAAAAAAAAAAAAAGCAACGTTCCCAATTTGTCTTCGAAACTAAATCCCCCTAAGACCAGCGCTAACAACAGTAAGGAAATTATTACTGCTGCGATTAATCCGGAAACCGCATCACATGTTCTCGGTCTCAAATGGGACCACGTCACCGATACGTTAGTTGTGAGCAGAGGAGTCAACCGCGAACTCAAAGACACTGTTACGCAGCGATCGGTCCTTAGTTTTGTGTGCTCCGTGTTCGAACCCATAGGTCTTGTTGCCCCGTATACCGTACGCGCACGTTTGCTACTGAAAGATATCTGGAGATTGAGTGGCCAACAGTGGGACGACCCACTGCCAATTGAGTTGTGCCGCAGATTCACTGAATGGAACTCTGGCTTGCCAGTTTTAGTGCAGCTCAAAATACCTCGTTGCTATTTTGACTTCCCAGTAGATGAGGTTGGGCTGCACATGTTCGGTGATAGCTCATTGGACGTTTTCTGTTCTGTAGCATTCCTTCGAGCTCAGAAAAACGCCTATTCCAAATGTCAACTAGTGTTTGTCTTCGGTAAAGCAAGAGTAGCCCCGATGAAGATGCTTTCAATTCCGAAGTTGGAGCTTCAGGCTGCGCTTCTTGCTAGTCGCCTAAAGGATGATATCGAGAAAGCTCTGACACTGAGTATTTCCAAAGTGTTCACGTGGACTGACAGCACAACAGTCCTTCAGTGGTTGAACTCGACAAGCAAACAGCCCGTCTTTGTAGCCAACCGAGTAGCCGAGATTCTGGAGTCAACATCAATTGACCAATGGTTCCATGTTTTGAGTGGAGACAACCACGCTGACACTGGAACTAGAGGTATTACTGCTGATTCCCTCAAGCAAAGCAGTTGGGTAAACGGCCCTTCCTTTTTGAAAACTTCTGATTGGCCTTTCAATCCAAATAGGGAAGTTACTGACAAAATTCGCCTGGATGGTCCGGTCTACGATCTAAATGAGGGTTTAGAGGTCTCTTCCAATTTTCCGTGCACTGCAGTTTCGACTGACTTTGCCTTCCCTTGGGAAGAGTATAGCTCGTTCTCTCAGATAAAGCGACTGGTCGCATATATGTTAAGATTCTCACCTAAGCATAGACATTTCAGATCACCAGATAAGGCCATAATTGATCCAGCAGAACTTGTCATTTCAGAGGAAAAGCTTTTGCAACTTTCGCAGTTAGAGTCATTCCCAGCTGAAAGTAAAACAATTAGCAATTTAGCAGCTGGAAAATATGTGAAAACATCGAGCCGTATGTCATCGTATTCGCCTTTTATCGGGCCGAACGGTTTAATTAGATCTACCGGCCGTATCCAACGTCTCTCTGCAACCGCATTCGAAACTGGCCATCCAATAATTTTGGATAGCCGCCATCACCTAATCCGATTGTTTCTCCGTTTTTATCACATTAAGCACGAACATCAGTCAGTCGAATACCTTCGTTCCGTCATTCATCAGCAATTTGTTGTACTAAGCTTAAGATCTACACTAAGAGCTATTGAAACACATTGCGTGTGCTGTAGAAAGCGAAAACGAAAACCGTTACTCCAATGATGTCTGACCTTCCCGCGGAGCGTCTAGGTTACCACCAGCCACCGTTCTCGAACTGCGGCGTCGATTATTTTGGACCATTTCATGTAACCATTCGTCGATCTTCCAAGAAACGCTGGTGGTTTCTATTTACTTGCTTAACGACTCGCGCAATTCACATTGAGTTAGTTCCATCCATGGACACAAGTTCATGTGTGATGGCTATCGAGCGCTTTATTTCTAGGCGAGGAACACCCTCAATAACTTGGTCGGACAACGGAACAAACTTTGTAGGAGCCGAAAAAGAGCTTCTTCTGTGCATCAAAAATTGGAACGCAGAAGCTCCACTGTCGCTCGTACACAAAGGCATTAAGTGGAAGTAAAATCCGCCAAGTGCACCACATCAATGTGGAGCATGGGTGCGAATGGTGCGCAGTTGTAAGCGTGTGTTTTATGCAATCTTAGGGTCAAGAAAGTTGACTGACGAGATTTTGAACACAATCATGTGCCTAGTTGAAGCTTCACTAAACGCCCGTCAACTCACTCCCGTTTCTGACGACCCAGATAGTCTTGAGGTTTTGACGCCGAATCATTTCCTCTTAGCTCAGCACAGTTTAACGTTTCCGTCTCTAGGGTCGAATGAAAACTATTCTCACTCTAAACGCTATGCCCGTGCGCAGTCGTACGCAAACGCAATTTGGCAGCGATGGTTAAATGAGTACGTCCCTACACTCAATGAAAGAGTTAAGTGGCATTCTCCTCCCGAATACTCTTTGAAAACAAGAGATATGGTGTGGTTAGTTGAATCCACTAGCCCTAGGGGCTACTACCCACTAGCACGCATAATGTCGCTAAATTACGGCAAAGACAACACCTCCCAGTCCGCAAACCTAAGGACCGTTTCCGGAAACTACACTCGGCCGCTCGTTAAGCTCGTTCCGGTTCTCGCTCCTTCGGGGGTGGAGGATGTTAATGCTACATAGCATTAAAGTTGAAAGTATAGTATAAAGCCAGTATAGTTGCTTAGCAATACCAGCTATATAGCTCAGCGTATACATAGTGCGTTCCGGGGAGTTCGGCGTGGGTGCGATTCTCACCTAAGTCGTTTCATTTGAGAATCCTATTTGAGCCGAACCTGGCAGAACATAAAATGCTAATATTTTAATCGGTTCAAAATTGGTTTGCAATTGAGTTTCTGTTAACCGCGTGAATTGAATTTGATTTTATAGCAAAAATCATAAATCAGCGCATGATCAACCCCACTATTTTGGCTTGATACGTTTAATTTAGTCACAATATTTCGACCATATTTCGTGAATTTAAAACCGATTCTGTTTTGTTTTTACTGTTTAAATTGAGCAGAACATGAATTTTTGACAAAATAATTGAGAAAAAAAAGCTACATAAAGTACTAGGTGTGTTTAGCGCCTCGTTTTGTGATAATAAGATTAAAGTGCTGCCCTAAATTCAATTTAGAACGCAATAATTTGCTGCTTACGCGTGTTATAAGTACGCAATGTATCGCAGTTTAATTATTGCAAATTGCGATTTTTTTCCAAAAGTATATTGTACTGAGGGATTATATCTTGGTTGAATTAGTCCTTTACCCCACAAAACTACCGTAGTTAAAACGGATGCGTCATTTCCCCCCCCCCCCCCAAAAGGAAAATCAAACACTCGAATACGCATTTCCTGATACTTGTACATATATAATTTACCAAAATGAATCATTTTTAAAATAAGTTTACAGAAGCAAGAGTTTGTGAATTGTCCTGTAATTTGTCTCCAAAAATTTTTAGAAAGAAAATTTTGATAAGAAAGATTTTTAACAATCTGAAAAATTCGTGTGGCCTCATTTTGGACCACAAGCATAAAATGTTTTCATGTTTTTAAAAGTAAGAATTGAAAAACTACTCGTAATCCGACTCCCAAACTATAATATTTGAATGGTTTGATTTTTTTCCCCAAAAGTCAATAGAAAGTAGTAAGTATTTAGACTCAAGTCGTATCAGAAATAATGTTACCAATTAGTTAGCCTCAATTCATTTTGCGTGCTTTTTTAGTACGGGATATTTAGCGTCAATAAATATATAGTTTTTTTAGCGTCAATAAATTTTTCAAAGCGCGTATTACTTTGCCTAGAACATTTAGATTATATGGCAATGTGCTAATCTGCAATTTCACATCGCCAGATTTTTAACAAAAAGGATTGCAGATAAAATTTATTATCCCATTTGCATACCGAAACGATAATTTCATTGGTGTATAAAATTTTGGATGTTTCTCATTTTCATTCTCCTAGCAAATTGTAGCGTTCCCCATAATAGTAAAATCAGAGTAAAAAGGAGTTTGAAAGTTTTGTTACTAGGTTGAGAAAACTATAACTGGAAAGCACCAAAAAAGTTCTGATAAAAACTTTTAGTTTTATCGCGGATGATGGATTGAAAAAACAAATTCAAGCCTACCTAGTCCTTTTTTTCTCCAAAAAGCAAATCAAAAAAGTTTATGCAGTTTATGAGGACAAATTGGGGGCGAAACATCCAATGAAAGTTTTCGAAAACCTCACTTTGTGACTTAGCACATAAAATAAATTTATAACCACAAGTAGCTAAATTATTTAGAAGAAGCTACTTAATTGTCAATTTGATTTTTAAAAGCATACTATTTAGGAAAATTTTTTTTAAAAAACTCAAACTAATTTTATCGACTTTTATTTTGTTCTTGAATAAAAAATCAGATTTGTTTTCCCGCCATTTTGGTTTTTTGTGTCCTTGAATTGAAATCAAATTTTTTAGTATTATGATTGACACTCAATGACCTATTATCTATTTCTGAAGCACATGTAATTTTGAAGGAATTCTGAACATTGGATTTTTTTTCAAATTTGAAAATGCACCTGCAAAAGCAAAGCATTGATTGAACCAAAGCACACTGGTTTTGAACTTAGATAAAACCAATACAATTAGGTTCAGTTAATTCAACGAGAAAAACAACTAACCCATTAAGATGATCAAAAAGGAACAAGCAAAAACTCTTTGATCACTTTGAAAGTGGTAATCTTCAGAACAAAACTCGTGTTAGGGTGGCCAGGAGGTCAAATCGCTGTCACAAGGGGCTTCCGCCCTCCCAACTTATTCCAACTTATTCCGTGAAAAAAAAAATTGAAAAATTTATCATAGAATTTTTATTAATATTGTTTAAACAGCTTATGGTGACATACAAAATCAAAGCGGCCAAAAAATGGTGGTTTTAGGCTCAAAAAACGACAAAAGTTGAAAGTATTTTTTTGAAAATCCGCCCCTTGAGAAAATGCAAGATCTGGGTCTGGTTTTAGCCGGGCAGTGTGATGAGCTACAGTGCCTCTAGTGCTGCGGGGAGTAGGGGGAGGGGCCCCGTTTACAAGACAGTGTCGCGAGAGTCCCGAGTTGACGACATGCTGTTCGGAAAGAACACTACAAAACAGGTCAGTTTAAGAATCATCATATTAAGAATTTTTAAATTTGTTAATTGTAAGTGTCAATGAAGATCACAAAAAGACGTTTTGAAGCACTTCTTCGAAAGCTTTAGCTCAAAAATTGCTTTTTTTGGTGCGCGGTCTCCCTCAAAATTAATATTTATTGACGCCGAATGCGCCTTAAAACAGTTGAGATCGGTCAGCCAAAAATTGATGCCTTAAATTAGTACCAAAAGGGAGACCTTTAGGAGGGTGGTCAGGTTGTCAAATCTCTGTCGCAAGGGGCTTCCGCCCTCCCTTCTAGTCAAACTCCGCTACTGATTTCAATCATTGATTGTGTATCAAAACGAAGTGATTGACATTGATCAACACTTCTGAATCTGCAATTTATCTCCTTATTTTGAAAGAAAAAATAAATTCGTGTTGATAGAAAAGCAGCAGTGGAGCTGCAGCAATTGTGGATGATTGTCGAGGGCAGAGACACTCGGCACCCGGCAAGTCAAAGAAACCCGAACAGATACAAGTGATCACAAAAGACCTCATCCGAAAACTCATGTAAGCCCCAGTCGAGATTTTTGATGCAAGATTCGAGAGGTTCAATCGTAATTAGATAAAGCAAAGACTCAAACCGCTCAAATTTTTGCGCATAATCTGGTCCTGACAGCAAATGCAAGCCCATATTTTCCATCAGCTATCAGTCGAAATATGCAACAAGACTGCTCGTATCTCAATCGACTAGATTCTTTTACCTTTCACCTCTCCCACCCACTTAGATTTTATAAGTTCCTAATTTTCGTTCACGCAGTCTTTATGACATGCATGAACTATGATCACAAACATCTTTTTATTTAGTTTTCCGGTCTCAAAAATTATAGTAACAAAAATTGTTTGGCCAATGGGCCATTTTTGTTGTATTTTGAACGTATGGGTAAACCTAACTCAGCCTACTTCAACACGGCAAAACATGAAAAAAAAACGTTCATAAAATATTCCACAAAATTCGTACAAACTTGCAGCAGAAAACTGTATTGTGAATCAAACGTGTAACATGTAATAGATTTTTTTTTTCGTTTTTAATGAGAAATTAAAAATAATTTAAAAATGAAGCAAAAAATTTGAGAAAATGCAAAAAACTACTTACAGCGCGCATTAATTATTTACATTTCAAGAAAAACAAGACTGCTCCTATATAAGGGCAAACAACTTATTGGTATTGATTAGCTTTTGGTAGAGAGTATATTAAAAAACTATAAGTTTTGGACAATATCAAACATCAAATGTAAAAACTCGAGTCGTACGAACGAAGGTAATAAAACCGATTAGCTCGCCTGAATTCATTTTGGAACCAATTTGCAGTGTTTCATCCTTTTCCACGCACAAAAAAACTCAGCTTTATAATTAAATTTTTCACAGCGCGCATCAATATAAGGAGTATGGCCAAATTGGCAATTTTCAAAACCTCAGAACTTTACCAAAATAATCGACAAATAATACATTTTTTGGCAAAACCTATTATTTTGTTATTGAAAATTTACTGAAAAAAAAACTTCCGAGCAAAAATATTTTACATTTCCTCGAAAGACGGAACATTAAAAAGTTTCGAGCTCCGTCTTAATTTTTCTGTTCAAAAGAATTTCGATTCATATAAAACAGTTTTAACAAAAATTTTGCAATGAAATCTGATCTGTCAATGCCTTGATCTTAAGTTTAGAAAAACTCACATTCTGTCACTTTTTCTTTGGGGGGTTTAAAAGGTGCCAAGTATTGCTAACTGTTTTTCCAGATTTCTTCGAGTATATATGTGGCTTCAAACATGTTTCAAAAAAAAATGAGGCAAAATATTTGGCGAAAACGATGCATAGCTAGGCGCGAATGGTTTGACACATTTTATGTGAGGAATAGAAATCAGAATGGAACCTCAATTATTCATTGAAAGCTAGCTCAGACTTCGTAAAAAGTACTCAAAATACTTAGGGCTGCTGTTCGATGAGAATATTTTTGTTTTCTTGGTTTTTCTATTTTTTAGATGAAAGTTCATTTATAGTTTTGTTTCAATTTCTGAAGAAAGTGAAAGAATATTAAAAGTCGGTGTGATTTTTTTCCGAACATTTTTAGAAAACTACAAAAAACTTATAAGCTTTTCAAAAACTGTGACGTCCTTCAGCTCAAAATTAAAACGGTATTTCCACTGTAATCATCTTTTGTAAAATGCTGGTGCTTGTAAATCGACAATCATTTTTCAAATTTGGATTAAACAACGCGCTTTACAGCGATGATTTGAGCCAGTTCAGAAATCGTTCTAAAGTTTATTGAGGCAGGGGTTTTGAAACGCTAGTAATGGCTAAACATATCACTCTGTAAATTGCGTAGCGTGTTGTCAGCACTTTTTATTTTTTATCTGGGAAACTTAGTAACTATAAATATCACTCTGTAAATTGCGTAGCGTGTTGTCAGCACTTTTTATTTTTTATCTAGGAAACTTTATCGAAAACAGAATTGAAGAGGAGTCTGAAAGTCAGGGTTTTTGTCCTGATAGGAGCAGTCTTGTTTGATTTATTGCAATGCTGACTATTATCTTCAAATCGAGTGGAAATGTTGCTTTGCTTCTTGTTCGAATATTTGATTACACTTGCGAAAGCAAATGTTTTGTAATAAGGAAAGAAATTTTTTTCCCGTAAACAACTTTTCTTGCATCTGAAGTTGAAGTTGAAATTATTTCTAGAGAATCTTAGTGTTTTTGACAATGCTTCTCACTTGACCTCAAGGTAAAGCGGTTTTCCATGTACCCGAAGGCTAGGGTTCGTGGCCTGGGCGGACCCTGCTTTTTTCATAATGTATGAAATTATACGAAAGTTTCCGGGAAAAAACGAATTGAATTCTCTTGTTTTTTCGGATTAATTCCCGCATTGTAATTTTTTTCTTAACGGCCAGCAATTTTTGTCATAGATGCAAGTGTTTGTGATTTACTTTTGTTATTTACAAAACCATTAGCCTTATCTCCTTTTTTTCTTTTTGTCCACTTCCTTCGGCTTAATTCTATTCGGTTTATATTTTATCGGTTTGTTTGCAATCATTTTTGTTGCTTCAATAGTAGAAAATAATTAATGAAAGTCAGGTAGTTTGTCTTGCAAAATTTCAAAGTCTTAAAAGTTAATTGCTCAAATATGTTTTATGTAAACAATTTCTTACGTTTGTTTTTTGCTTTTCGTTTTGTTCTCTCCACATAAAACATTATGTTGATATTTTCTGCATGTTTTCTTTTCATTTAACTTGTTCAAATAAGATCTAATATGCAGCATTTGTGCCGTGTAGTGTTCCGCGGGAGGACCCGTCAGGCGAGACGATTGTGCTGCCGAGAGGAGAGTTCGACCGGATCAAGAGGGCCAGTAAGGTGCTAAGTAAGGAGGAGAGAGAGGCTCAACTTAGAGCCATCAAAGAGGACAAGGAGTTCCAGGAGGTAACATTAATTAGCTAGGCTCTTCACCCCCCTCCCCTCCAACTTTTGCTTATATTGTCCAACTTGAATATTAACAATGAATATTAACATGCTATGCTGACTAATTTAACTATTCCGAACGAATTTGTTCCCATTCATCACCTTGTAAAATTACTCATTACATCATATTCGGTTAAGAGCGAGGAAAACGGGAGCCAAACTTCTCGATACGTGAACTTAATGGTGAAAACCGCGGGTGGCTCAGAATGTTTTTGCAGAGTAAAAAGTGTTTAGTGTTTTTGAGAGTTTGGAAAATCAATTCGATGAACTTGAAACGAAATGCTTCAACCTGATTGGCTAAAATTTGGAAGTTGAAAAAAAAATTCTTCCATCTGATAGGCTGAATTCAAATTTGAAACTTAAAACAAAATGCTTTAACCTGATTGGCTAAAATTTGGAACTTGCAACGAAAATTCTTCCATGTGATATGCTGAATTTTGGAAATCGCAAATAAATGCTGCAATGTTATTGGTGAAATCCCCGGAGGTAATCCTACATCCATACCTGATGCCAAAATCTAAGCAAACTTTACACCTGTTTGAGCTCTCTTCTGTTATACGTGTACGGTCAAACATGTTTTTTTTCCCGGTAATATGGATATTGCAACAAAATGCTTGTCTGATTGGCTGAAATTTGAAAATTTCAACAAAAAGCTTCAAGCTGATTGGCTTAAATTTGAGAAATGATCCAAAATGCTTCAACCTGATTGAAATTGAAACTGAAATTTGAAATTGAAACAAAATTATTCAAGCTCTGATTAGCTTAAATTTAGAAGCTGTAGCAAAAATTCTTCGATCTGATTGGCTGAAATTTGGAAATTGCAAATAAATTCAGCAATGTGATTGGCTAAACTAAAACTGTTCAGATGGAGGCATCGAAGCGCAAGCAGATGTTGGCGGAAGAGGACTTGAAGAGGAAGAAGAATGAGAAGCTGTCTGATTTGGAGGAGGAAGTTAAGCAGCAGAGGGAACATCTGCTCACGAAGGCTCAGGAGTTGAGAGACGAACAGACGGACGAGATCAAACTGCTCAACGAACTCATACTCAACTCCAAATGCCATGCCATCAGGTATAGAGAGTTATAATAGATTAAAAGAAGTGAAAGTTATATTACGTAACAAAATGTATAGGAACAAAGAATTGATTCAAAAGAACATTAAAGAGTAATTCTTTCTGTTTTTTTTAAGAACCCTGTCTGTTCGAGCTTTTTAGTTGGTGTCAAACTTTGATACTTATAAAAACAGAAACAAAGACTTCTATTTGAACGATATTGGTACTTTCCGAATGGTTTCCAAAATAATTTCAGACCAAATACCAAATTGATATTCTGATATCTCCCAAACCACTATAAGGATCCTATTTTGATCAATTTTTTGTGCCGCATTGCGTTTTTTTGGCGCTCGCTTAGACCTCAAAACTAAGCTATTTGGCGCCGAAAATTGAACTGGATGTCCTAAATTATATCCAAAGTCTACACTTATTGTTCAAACCATTGAAAATGGGGAGGAACTTTGGATTCGAGTGTTTTAGTTTTTTTATGTTTTCCACGTAAAATCAGCTATCACAAATAGTCATCGCACAAGCTTAAGTGACATGTCATATTAAAGCCTTTTCAGTCGTGATTCGAACCACATTAAAAAATTTGAAAAAGTTTTTACTTTGTCGAGAAAGACCGGTTTGAAATTTTTGATTTTTGGCCCAATTTCGATCTAATTGTAAGATAGTAAGTGCAATGGCTTATTTAAATTTAATTCAAGCCGTGAAAGCTTAATTTTACTCAAGTAAAAGTCGTTTTTGGAGTTGCTAAGCGCATTTTTGAGAATCAAAAACTCGAAAATTCGAAAAAGTTTCCGCAAAAGTTTTCGAAATTTTGGATGTTTTTTTAATCTTTTTTTTTCGTTTTCCTAGTCATTTTTCTTCAAAAAGTGTTTTCTAATTGATCTATTTTTATTATGAATCTCAAATATGCCTGAGTTTTATTTTTTCGTTCAAATTTTTTTTTCGCAACATGCAGAAAAAAACGACACCAATTTGAGAAAACAATTTTGTATTTTTTAAGACTGTGGTCGGAACATTCTGTGCTACTTCCACAGTAACCAGCTATCCTTGTTGAATTTGTATTTTTATGATTGGCTTTTATTCACAGCCTGTTGGCATTTATAATATATATCTTTTTTGCTTTTGCGAATAGCAAGTACATTAAAACTGGATTTTATTTAAAAAACTCTGCTTTTTTGAAAGTCTTACCAATTTTTCTGCTTCAGCTCTTTTTTCGTCTCAGTATTTGAATACTACTTGACTTTTGTTCCGGCTTCCGAGTTTTGGTCCGTAATTTTCTTTCCTAGGTTTCACTTAAAACATTTTTCCTAGCCAAACAAGATTTCAGTTTTTGACATTTTGACGTTTCGGAACTTTTTGATTTTTTTCCGAGAGACATCCTCCTAAATCTGGAATTTAATCTAGGGTTCAATCGAAGTAACGGTTACTAGGAGTTTTCTCTGCATAAATGGCTATGTCCTCATAAAAGTAGACAAAAACTGCTCGTAGCAGGGCAAACATGGCCTTTAACTATTTCTAAGCTAATTATATCAAACGTTAAGTGTTGAAATTTGATTCGTATATGAAGTTACTGAGGCCCCGCACCGAAGTTTCTCCGATAATTATCTATTATCTGGCGATTTTGTGGTCGAACCAAAAATTGTTCTTTTAATGATCAATAATCTGGTGATTTTGAGGTCGCAGAGTAGAATAATCGATTATATGGAAAAAAAATCCATTAAAAACTCTGATTTTATGTCGATTACATTGGAATTATAATAGATTATAAGAGATTCCCGCACCGAGTGCCCATGGATCATAATCGATTTTATTGTCATAATATGGTCCGCAATAAAATGACAAAATAATCTATTATAATCCATTAAAAATGGATTATAATCCTAATATTTTTTTGTCAATATAATCCATTATAATCAATTTTAATCAATTAAAATGGATTTTTTCGAGGGGTTGTTCATGAAAATTACAATTTATTTAAAGTTATCTTATTTCCTGTTTAGTGCAGTTGCTACGTATTACGTGTCATAAAATGTTACATTTCAGAACAAAATTTCTATACTTTTTGCTCTCTGCTTTTAAATTCATCGCAGTTTAACACTTCATTTTACTGTTTTTCTTACCACAAACCCCCCCCCCCCAGTTTAAACACACCCTCAGTTAACCCCCCAGTTCACTACCCCACCAGTTTATTACTACCCCCCCCCCATCCCCCCCCCCTCCCCAATTTACGCCCCCCACTATTTACCCTCCCCCCAGTTTACCACTTCCCCCCCCCCGGTTTGTTTACCCATCCCCCAGTTATGCCCCCCCCCCCAGTTTACACTCCCCCACCCCAGTTTACCCTACCCTTTAGTTTTTGTTGCAATTTTTGGCAGTTTTATGGCGAATACAATAGATTTTATTGCGATTTTATGGCGATTTCAGGGCGAAAAAAAAAATGATTTTATTGAGATTATGTGGAGATAAAAATACATTTTAGTGGAATTACAAGGCAATATATTCTTGATGAAAATAATCTATTTTCTTTCTATTATAATAGAAAATGTTGCTTAAATTGGTTACACATAATCGATTATAATGGCAACATTTTCCGCAACATTTTCTCAATATAATCTATTTTTATCCGAGAAACTTCAGTGCGGGGCCAATTAGCTTGCCTCAATTAAATTCATATTGCAACATTTTTGCAGTGGGGGATAGTTTATCAAGCGTAAGCAATTGGCGTTACACTTTCAGCATTAAAGTATCAAATGAGCAGTTTTGATACACTCGTTTCAGCTTGAACAGACAGTCGCGGGGTCTATGTGCACAACGTAGGTCCAAAAATTGAGCTCCCAAAGAACCCTTCCAAGGTTATATATTCCTCACTTTCTTGAAAGTCGGAACAAAACGGGTTTTGGACTTGCAAAAGACGTTTTTTGAAGTTTCGACCGTTTTTTAAAACTTTAGTTTTTATCAAAAAATTTTCTGCCAAAATTAAAATTACGGGTATAATAAATTCAGGCCGTATCTTCTCTGGGCAAACGGCTATGCCCTCTAACCTAAACCAATATTATGACCTAAAATGCTCAAAATTTTTTCACTCTTTTCTGAAACGAGTGATGAGAATTCTTCAGTCAAAACAATAAGCTGCTTAATCTTCCCTAAATAAACTTTTTCACTGTTTTTTTTTATTAGTGGCATGACCTAATCGAATTATTAGCGGCTAATTACTTGCATTAGAAGAGCATTCACTATGGTTTTAGGTCAAGTCTATTTTTGAATTTAGGAAAGTTACGCATTTCCTCCCGCATCACATTACAATACTTTATAAAAAAATATACAACAAATATACAACCTCCAGTTGTAGCTGGGTCAGAAGTCGATTATGAGAGATTGTGCAGTTGATCTGCGATGTCTGATTTGATATGTGACGTCTCAATTAGTATACATGTCATACAGTATATAATCTTGATGTATATAGAATCATATTGCGTGATGGATGTGATTTGATTTTAGGGATGCCCAGATCCTAGAGAAGGACGTGATCGGGCGTGAGCTGACAGAGGAGGAGAAGAGACTGGATGCCATGATGGAACACGAGCGACAGAGACAGATCAAACTGCAGGAGGAATACGAACTCATCAAGAAACAAAAACAACTAGAGTGAGATGTCTATTTCGTTTTTTTTTGCTCCCACTTTCGAAAAATTTTATTCAATTATTTCATTTTCAAATGACATACCACACCATTTTATATGTAAAGCATTAAATTTTGGCATTAAATGTTCTCTAACATCTTGCGGATTTTTTGTCACAATTAGTTGAAGACAGTTCAATCCGACTAGTTACGTTGGTTTATCTAGAAGAAAAAGTACTCATTTACAAGCTGTTCAGTTATACAAAGACAACTCCCTTGTGTCGCAATGTTGCCGCACCCTCTAGGAAGGAGAAAGAATATGACGGGCCTCGAAATGCCGACCTCTCGCTAGAAAAGCGTAGACATTCACCACTTCACCATTGCTTACCCTGAAGGTGACTGTTTCTGTGTTGTTGTTATCAGGGCGGCTGGAGTAGTTAGGGATCAGATGGCTGCCAGGGAAGAGGCCAGTATTCTGATGGAAGAGGCCAAGGATCAGGAGGCGAGGGCCATGAGGAAGAAACAGGAGGCCATGGAGGAGGAGGACATCAAGGTCAGGACATGACTACTCTAACTTAAGGCTAAACTTAAGGCCATCGTTTCTTCTTTGTTTTGTGGATGCCAAGTGCAGCTTATTCGTCTCATCTGTATATGTGTATTTTGTATGCAGGGTCTGCTGGCTAAGAAGCGTGAACAGAAAGAGATTGCGAAGGAGTTGCTGGAGGAGAATGAGATGCAGAAGCAGCAGCGGGAGAAGGCCCTCGAACAGGACAGGGCCCTGGATCTCAAGGTCATGCAGTTCCTCAAGGACAAGGCCGTGAGTACATTCACACCAGCACTTTTTTACTATGGCAAAGAGATGGGGATGTCTCGTGTCATGAGGCTGTTATGATGACAGATAGACCAAATGCGCGAAAATTTTGAGTAAATAAACTTGATTGGCTGGGATCATTTTCGGGAATTCGGCAGTCCCTCTGCCATGAGGGATTCCTCCTTAAGATTGTTCAGTAGTTTTGAAATATCAATAAATTAAGAAAAATAGCCAGTTGCGGACTGTTCAAAAGACTCTGATTGGTTGAAATAGTTCGCTGATTCAGCCATGAAAGTAGCAACAACCTAAACCATCCCACCTCCCCCCATACCGACTGATAGCCCCTAACGATTAAATTAATATTCTGAAAAATCGTCGGCTCTGAAGTTTTTCAAAATCAGAGCGGCATTGTCTGCTTTGTATTATATTACACATCTAGTCTTTCTAAGATACAAAACTTAAATAAACGCGTTGAAACTCCAAAAATTTGCTTTAATATGTAAAATTGATTGCCGTTTTTTAGATTTACAATTAATTACTCCATATCCATCTCAAAGGCACATAAATTGTTTATGCTTAACCGTTGATTTAGTTATTTTTTTACAAGGGCGGATTCTTTAGAAGAGGTAGAGTGAAGCGGGGCAGCTGAAGACGTCTGTATTTCTTGAAGTGTGTGTATTTTTGTTTAGGAGAGG